TTGTATTTTCTTAAAGTGCTTTGCCTGGTTTTGGTGTCACCATAAAAATGAGTTGGGAAATGTTCTTCAGTTTTCTAAAGGAATCTGTGTAAAACTGGTATAAATTTTTAATTGTTTCATAGACTTCACACAAGCTACAAATTCAAATTACTTAATAATCATTCAGATTATTTAGGTTGTCTCCTTCCTCATGAAATAGTTTCAGTTCTTTGTGTAATTCCAAAAGTGTATCCATTTTGCCTCAGTTTTAAAATTTATTGACATGTTCATTAGCCTCTTATTTTTCTTTATAGAAGCGATTCAGGTTCTCTCTTTTATCTTGATATTGGCAATTTCTGTATACTTTTTTCTCTCATTCTGTCAAAGCTTTAAAAATTGATTGAACTTCTTGGTGGTCTGTCTTGGTGAATAATCTCTGTACATTGAAAGAATTCTGTTGTTTTGGGAGGAATGTTCTATAAATATTAATTAGATCAAATTGGCTTATACTGCTATTTTTTATATAGCCTATTTTCCTCATTTATTTTCTCATTCTGTCTAATTTTATTACCAGGAAAGAAAGTTTTCAGTTTTTACCTGTAATAGCTGGTTTTTCTTTTTCTATTTTAGGTTTGTCAGTTTCTACTTCATCTGTTTTGATGTTCTTTAAGTTGAATCCATGGTTAAAGATTGTTATGTCTTCTTGATAAATGGATACTTTAACAACTACAATGCTGCAGTTTCATAGATTCTGGCGGAAGACAAAAGACCCTTGGGTCACAGACAAAGTCCTTTATTACTCATGACACAGAAAATAACATGAACATCATGTTTGTGTCAATTCTCCCTTTCTCTTCAATCTCATGAGTGCAAGAAGACAAGACCAAGTAGATGCCATGCAAACAGTATGTTTGTGTCCAAGTGAGGAACTGTTAACTCAGGAAACCCAAATGCCATAAAAGGCGATGCTAGGAAATATGTCCAACATTTTCCCTGAAGGACATTATCTTTATTATCCTGAACAGCAAACAAATCTGACTTATATCCTAGAGATGTTGAGAGACACTCTATCTTCCAAGCTGTCCACTGTACAGACATTTTAAAAGAAGTATCCATAATGAAAGCTATCACAAGATCTAATAATATGTTAAAGATCATAGAGAACTGTTTTCCAATAGTGTCATTCTCTATATCTGGAAATATTCCTCATTTTGCTTTCTATTATTTTGTTATTATAGCCATTCTGCTGTCTTTGGGATAGGTATTTCTTTAGCATATATATTTCCATCTTTCTACTTATAACCTATTACTGTCTATATATTTAAATTAGATTTTTGTGGGAAGCAGTTGGTCTTAATATTTAATCTGACACTCTTTTAATTGAGTTTAGGCCATTGACTTGAAATGTAACTACTAAAATGAATGAATTGAAATCTATTAACACTTTAATTTTCTGTTTGTATCATCTATTTCTGTAATGTTTCCTTCTTTTTGTTAGTGTGTATGGTTTATATACATTCTACCTTCAAATTTTATTAAGCCACTGCAAGCTATATTACTCCACTCCACTTCACTTTACAACTGTATACTTTCATATACTTCCATTTTCTCACTTCCGTCTGTTTTGCTATCTTTGTTCTACATTTTACTTCCATGTTTTAAACTCCATAATGCATTTTTATTTTTTTTATTTAAACACATTTTTAATGTATTCAAAATGAGAAAAAAAAACTCACAATTTATATGATTTCTGGGATCAACTATTTATGCAAATTCAAATGTCATAAGGCATCCTACTGTTCTTTTACCTGAAATATATGCTTTAATCTTTCTTGTCTCTGAGCTTTCATTTGTTTGAGAAAGTCTTTGTTTTTATCATTGCTTTTTCTTAACTTTAATTTGATCATTTCTCTCTAGTTTACTAATGTGGAAGTTAGCCTATTGTTTTAGACCTTTTTTTCTAATATATGAATTTGTGCTATACATTTCCCTTAAACACTGCTTCTTCTACATCTCACAACTTGATAATATTATATTTTCATTTGATTTTTAATTTTCTCTTCAGACTTTTTTGTCCTGCATATCACCTAGAAGGGTGTTGATTAATTTTCAAGGGAAGGTAGACCTCGCTGGTGAGTTTTCACATAGTAAATGAAAGCAGAATATTGCTTGAGCAGCAATTTGTCTTTTTTCGTTAGAAAGTCTAAATCTTGTCTGATGTAGTTATTCGCTATTTCATTGAGTCTCTATTCCATTGAATCTAAGACACACTTTTATTTTTAACATTGAAGTTAAGATGAGTTTTATATCTGATCTCCTTTTTCAGTCATGGTTGATCAGACAATCTTTTTTATTATTGCCTGGAAAAAGATGTGATAGCATTCCCTGAGCAGTCAAGTATTAATAGTGCTATCAGCAAAAATTTCAGAATGGGTGTCAATGATTTTGGAAAAATGAAACAAGTAACAACAAATTGGCTATAATATACCAGTGGAATATTTTTTAAACACTTAATACATAATGTTGTAGGAGCAACAGGAGTGATAAAATAAAAGTGTATAATAGTAATCCTGAAACAGAAATCAAAAGCAGAGTGATCCTAATTGCAAGATAGCTTGCAATTCAAGCACTAATAGCTCTTACTTCTTGTAGAGTCCCTCTAAGAAATTCTCATCAGCAATAATTTTAGTATAGAGGATCAAGTCATGTGGTAAAACATTGGCAGGATAGCTTTGACTCAGAAAGTTATTAAGAAGACTTAGATTCTTAATATGAAGATTTTTATGAAGGTATTTCTACCTAACAAATATAATTTCCTGATATTTTCTTTTTATGTGGACACAAGACAAATATCAAAATTAATGTTTGAATAAGTCTAAAAAAGCTCTTTAATATTTGAAGTTAAAAGGTCTAAGTGAGAGAAGGCATTGTTCATTTGATTGGCTGAATTTTTTTCTTAGCTATACAGAAAATAAGCAGTGTCTTATAAGCAATGCTTTAAGAATACAGTCACTGTTATGGGTGCTGCTCTTGTGTAGTAATTTTTTTGAAGATTTATTTATGCATACAAGAACTGGGGTACAAGCCAGAGGTGTTGGACAGGTGAGAGGGTTCACCAGAGACAAAGTGGGGAAAAGAACAGGCAGACTGACTGAAATACACTGCTGAGAGGAGCAGCCAGTGAGCAGGAGCAGTCTGTTGTGCCATCTGGGTAGCTTCCTGGCTGGCTGGGGATCGAATTGGTGCTGCAGAGGCTGCAGATAGCTTCACAGTGGTATGCTTAACCCCTTGCACCACCAGGGAGGCCCTTGTGCAATAATTTTTAACAATTACTTTTATTTAAAAAAAAACCTCATGTCTATTATATTTTGTGTCTTTTCTTCTAAATAAATTTTATTACAACTTTAAAAATGTAATTCACTTCTAATGCCCAGTGCAAATATGTATTTAAATTCTTAACTATTTACTTTAACCTATAATCACCTATTTTGCCTACATAACAAAATAAAATTTTACCACTAACTTCAATAAACATTAATCAAAATCAAAGATCAACAAAGCAGGGAAAACAAAATGAAAAATAGGATACATGTGGCTCTTCTTTAGAAGAGATTTCATGGTTTAGACATTACCGTAGAAGTAAGATTCATTAATTATTCAAAGTTTTATTTGATATCAGAATATAAGTGGGATATGGAATGGAATATTATTGCTTTAGCAGGAACAATGGCTTCATAGATAAATTTCTGTCATAATTATAATTCCACTGTGCTCCCAATTTGTGGCAAAGAAGACTTTAAGTGGTAAAAGTAAAATCTTTGGGAATTTTTTTTTTTTTTTAGAATTGTATTCAATTTCCACCTTTTTAGAGAAAATTATTCTGCTCTTAAAATTTGTCAATAATTTATCTGACTTACAAGAGCTTGTCAAGAACTGTCATGATTCTGATCATGAAAAGGCAATATTGGTATGACTTGGTCTTAGGAGTCAGAATTGGGAGTTAGTTGTCAACTTCTCCTGTTTATCTTAGGGAAAGCACCTAACTTCTCTGCTCTTATTTCTTCACTGTACACTGGCAATACCGGATGGTGTCGCACATAGCAAGAATTTAGAAAACCTAAATAAGGGACCAGGAAAAAGTCTAATTAATACAAAGTAAAAATCAAAATCAACAAGCAACTATAAACCAGAGACACACTACCGGGAGTTGGGGGAAGGGCGGGGAGAGGAAGGATTAGGGTCAAAATAGGCAGGAGTGCAATTGTATGGGGAATATAACCAAAATGAAAACGCATACATTGTGCAAAAATGAAAAATGATGTAAGAATTATATAAATAAAAAAGAAAATAAAAAGAAAGAAAATAATGATTATTGTACCAAGAGCTAACATTTATAAATACTTCATATTCCAGGACTACATAAAAAGCTTTCTGCATATCATCCCATTTAGTCTGGACAAGAAGCTTCTGGAAAAGGTGCTGTTATTATCTCCATTTCACAGATGAGGCACTAACAAGGACACTGTAGAATTAAATGAAATACCATTTATAATATTCTTGGTGTGCAGAGTGGACACTCATGGTAACGATGGTGATGCTTACAACAATGATGATAAAAGTAGCAATGGTAATACCAAGATAAAATTTCTATGCATCAGCTTTATGCCATTATCATAAATGAATATTCATTTAACTTTTGGAAATACAGCATCATGGCTTATTTAATAAACAGGTATCACCACCCTATTATGGCTGGACCCTGAGATATAAAATAATGCAATTTTATGGATTCTTTAGACTAGCAGGAAAGGAGGCTATTTGAAGAAAATATTAAGGGAAGGAATGATGAGGGAGGAGATGAAGGCCATGTGACAAGGAGAAAGGAAGGAAGAGTGGGCTTCATTTGGATTACAAAATCGCAGGTATATTCCAGTATCTACTACATGCTATGCATCAGCCCCCACATTCAGAAATCAGCTGCTGGGAAGACACGTGTAAACACAGCAGAGCATTTTTCTTACGGAAGTGTGGTGATCCGTAGCGCCTGTCACACTGGAATCCGGCTTTATGCAAAATGACTGCTGGATCGCAGGTCCTAATTCAGTGTGCCATCTGTAAAAAGAAAAAAAGGCACTGTCGTACATCTGTACAATTGATATTATGAAATGATGCTAAATTATAAAATCCAGTGAGAAAGAAATAGATTTTTTTTCATTCATCCTGTAACTACTTGTTTATTTCAAATATGCATATCTAAGGATTATGGAAAGGGTGGAGTAGGATACAGAGACAGAGAGGGGAGAGAGGGCAGAGACATCACAGCAGCTTCCAGCTGCTTCAAATCCCTTGGAAAGAGGTTTGAATTAATTCTATGAAGAAAAATAGGTGCATTCAATAGCTTCAGCTATATTTTGTGCCGATCCAGTTAATATGTCAAAATGTTCTGCTTCAAGCAAGAAGACAGAAAAGCTTTACCAACACCACAAAGGGGCATCTTAATCCCATCACTCCTTTGTCACCCTCCAAGGAAATAGCATTATGTAAGCATCTGATTTGCATCAGGGGGCGGCCTTGATTTTGGAGAAAGCTGTTTGCAATTCAATAAGCTCCACACACAATGTTGCCTTTCATGTGATTTTTATGGTGCTGTTGATAATGATCATAATGCTTTTTTCCCCCAATGGAGAACACCGAGGCAATGCTGGAAAATCAAACTTTGTCTCTGCAAGTTAGGGGATATTTGAAAATTTAGAGAAATGGAGATTCAGGTTTTATGATATCTGACCTAGATTAAGAAAGTTTGCAGAAGGGCACTAGGTCAGGTAGATGCATGCCGTAATTGATGATCTAAAAATGCAGACTGAGACAGTTTGAAAAATGAGGGAGAGTGGGGAAGTGGCCAAAGGGTGAAAAGGAGGGAGGCGGGAAAGAGAAAGAGAGACAGAGATGAACAGAGACAGACGCAGAGAGAAGACAAAAACTCACTGCTTGGGAGACTGAATCATGGGGTAGGAAAGCAGTTTTGCAATCCTTGAGAAGGTCAAAAGTTCATATGAAATTCATCAAATACTCATTTCCCTAATTCATTCCTCTCAGCTTTTTGAGTATGCTGGTTATGCCACAGGATCTTGTAAAGCCCAGGATTTTCTTTCCATTTCCCATTCTGAATAGTTAAATAACAACCACCTCCTTTATAGTCCTGTAAATCTTAATTCTATTTCCATCTGTGCTGAGTTGTTAAAAAGTTAATGATTAAGAGCTGCTTCCTGCCTTGGCTTGCTTACTCTTTGGCAGAAAACTTGGAGGTAAGGCACTTATGTGATGGGCATCAGCTAAGGCTACTTGGACTTCAGCTTCAAACACAGACATCTCTGCAAATGTGCTAGAAATGAGAGACACACCTGATACTGGGAGAGGCTAAGGAAGGGGAAGTAACAAAAACATTGGCTGTCAATGGCAAGGACTTGGGAACAGGGTCTACATGTTTTGCCACAATCTCCACTGAGCCTGGCAGAATGTAATGCTAAGAAAAAATGTTCCATGTTCATCATTATTCATTTGAAAATCTAAATTGATTGCCCTGGTGCCTGTAATGAAAATAAGAGCAACACAAGATTTCTAATCGCAGGTTGTTTAAGATCAAGCAGGGGCGACATATAAGCCAACAAAGGAAAGTAAATATCTCTAACACACTGCCCTCACACAACTTTTATCTTTCAAATGGCATGCGATATTTTGGAGGCATGAAAATTGTTTCCAACTTGATGTTATTATATTTTGAGTCAGATAAACCTGTGTGATGCGGTTCTCCTGTGCATTGTAAGATAATTTGCAGCATCTTTGGCCTCTATGTACTGGGTTCCAGCAGCATCCCACCCCAACTGCAATAGTAAAGAGTGAAGATTCATCTGGGACTGGGAGGCCTCCTGGCCCCTGGCACCCTGCCTGCCGTGTACTGCACCCTGCCTGGTTGCTGCACTACATGTAAACATGTAAAAGCTCAATGAAAGCCTGAGAAAGCCACAGAGGACTCCAGGACTCTCCTTTATCTTGTCTGCTCGGATCATAGATATCCTGCTCTGTCCCTTCCTGCCTCTACACATGTCCTCACACACATTTATGATTAATGTGCAAAATTCTGGTTAAGGCATTTTGGAAGAATAAAACATACGAGGTGTTGCAAGTCCATATCAAATATTTCTTAAAAATTTAGGAACCTAAATAATGAAGTAATGGATCCTGCCTTAAATGATGAATACGGGTTTGTTAGATTCATGAGCTGGTGAAAGCCTGAGGTCTGGTGGCATCCAGAAAGAGATGGCATCATCCAGACAGCCTCAGTGATCACCTGAGTCTAGTAGACGTTCTTTCTTAGTCATTTTGCTTACTCTGCTTCTGTCTCATCCCAGGCTCGGGACAGTGACAGGGGCCTTCACACAGACAACTGACCCACCTGGACTCTAGGGTTTTGATTCAAAGTGCCCTGCTACATTTGTCACACTCAGAGTCTCCGAAAGGAATCTTAACAGAACTTCATGTGTTCTTCATGGTTTCTTTATCCTTATATTTTCCCTCTACTTTCCAATAACATTGCCACCAGGAAAACCAAATAATGTCAGAAAACAGTAATAAAAAAGGTACATGATTATCCAAGTAAATTTTCTTCAGTTAATCTAAACTCAAACTGTCTAATGAAATTCAATATACATTATTGAAAAAATGACATGTGGAAAAAAAGGAATGGTGGGACATGGCATCATTTAATTTTTTCTCTAGAAATTTATTTTCTCTCACATGGAAAATGTTATGTCACATTCATCTCAGTATATAAACTCCAAAATTCTTAATGCATTGATAAATCAGTGATTTTTTCATGAAATCTAAGCATGCTTATCTTTTATCAGATTTTTCAAATATAATTGGACTTCTAGTGTGCATTATTCTAAATTTGTCTCATACTTAAAATTACATAATATCCTGTATGCTTTTCTAATTTATTTACTATGTGTCACTGTCTCTTTTAAAAAGTGTAAGTTTTATCTCCTGCCTCCCTTTAGAAAGTTCTTCTGTGTCCTTTATTCCCTTTTTAATAGTTGCAAAAGACCCTGGGTCTTCATTAATCCTTTCTTCTTGTAGCAACTCAATAATGTTAATTCTTTCCTTTGAAGCGACTCAATGCTTGTGTTACATCCACATTTAATTTTTTTCATGGATTAGTGCAATGAGACAGTGTCATTATAAAGAGTCTAATTGCAGAAATGTGTCACTAAATTTTTCTGAAAAATTTATTTTTGAAAATCTGCTAAAATATTCAATAAGCCTTTACAATGCAGCTGCAAGGCCCACTACACAGATTTAGCAGAGTCTCCAGCAAGATTGCCCCTATGTTAAACTGCAACCACAAGTTTGGGGAGGTCTCAGGGAGCACTTCTGATAGACTAGTTACTATCGTGAAGGGTTCCCACAGTTCCTCAGATTTGAAAATTCACTGGAATGACTCATAAAAAGTATGAGTGTATATTTACATGATTACACTTTTATGAAAGCAAAGAGATACGACCTGAACCAGTCAAAGGCAGAGACACACAGAGTGAGATCTAGATGAATCGCCAAAGTAAAGCTTCTATGCCCTCAGGATGCTTCACCCTCCCCACTCAGGGTTACATAATTACCAACCAGAGAAGCTCCTCTGAGCTCCAGAGTCCAGAGTTTTTATTGGTTTTTCATTATATAGGCATGACTGATTAAACCATTGACTATAGAATTGAACTCTCCTTCCTCCTTCCTAGACATCAGAGGTCGGGTTGACTTCTTGTGACTCATATCTACAACCTCTAATCACTATTTTTGCCATGGAAACCCACATTCCTGAAACTAGGGATCCAACTTGAGTCACATTGTTAGCAAAAATTCAAGTGTAGTCCCAGGGATCCAGCAGGAAAAACACATGCTGCTATTACTCAAGAAATTCCAAAGATTTAGCTCTCTGCAAGAACCTAGAATAAAAATAATGCACTTTTTTAGTATATAGTAGCCCTCCTTTTCAAGGTATACTCATTATATACCACAGAAATGAAGATATTCACTGAGTTTAATACTTTCTATCTACTTCTGTTCTTTTCAGAAAGAAGAACATAAAACAAGTGTGGGGAGAGGAGAAGACATGAATAACAGTATTTCTGTAAGTAAGAGCCTTGGGCAAAATTGTGAAATAGTTGAATATTAGATCTTGAAGCCATTTGGGAGATTCGCCAATCCTACCATTTTGTTGTATAGAAGCAAATAGGTCAGGAGAATTAGTGTCTTGCTCAAGGTAGAAAAGAGTAAGTAGTAAACTTCAAATAGGAATCAAAGTTCACATTTATCATTCTTCTCACCACACCACTAAGCATATTTTTGGAGTCTACCCAAGTATTTCAGATCTGTACCTCCTTGTTTAACCATCCTGCCGTCTTCCTTTCCCCATCACTGGAGAGATTTCAATGTTAAGCTGTTTTCTTTCTCCTGTTCTTTTTTCTACCTCTCCCTCTTCATTCCTTTGCAATGCCAGTGGGTCAACAAGTGAACTATAGTTTCTCTTGCCTGTAAGCTCTGATCTCTAAAACTAGCAAGGTCAGAAATGTGCTAATTAATTCATTTACAGCTCTCCTAGATATCATGATAACTTAACTCAGTTTCTTAAAATTAACCTTATAGATTGGTGTTAATGAAGGGGATTTTAGAAATAAGACCCTTGGCACTTCTGTCAACACAGGTGTTAATATATGCCAAAGAGGCTGAATCTGAGTAAATAGAAAGAAAATGTCATTAACCAGGTATGATACTTAGCATGATAGGAGAAAGAAAGAATAACAGAGAAGTACCAGCTGACTGGTCTTCTTGTGGTATATCTCCTATCCTTCTCCCAGAATACCCTTTCTAAAATGCAAATCTTACCTGAAACACAGGGTTGAGAGTCTGCCAGTGCCTCTCCATAACCTCCAATCTTCTTTCCATTACATGCAAGGATTTTCCTCATGTCATTTCAGTTTGTTTTTCAATTTAATCTCCAGTCACTCCAGCTTCTATCACCTTGTAACCTGATCAACCATATTATACTATTCCATCCCTTT